GTGCGGGACACTCCGTCAACAGATGTTCTAAGGTCTCTGGGGCCAGGCTGCAATGCCGGCAGGTAGGATCTCTGTTGTTGTCCAACCTCCAGAAATATGTGCGCAGGGGGCAGTGCTCGGTGCGCATCTGCGTCACTAGACTCTGAAATCTACGACCTAACCCCCACCATGGGTCTTGTTTGCTAGGAGTAGGCAAGTTCGAATAGACGCCTCTGGCGGTCGTGTTGTCAGCCCATTGCCTGTACCACTTCTGCCTGAAGTGGTCCGCCAGCCAGTTTTTGACTCCCAAGAAAGTCATTGGTACTTCTGGCTGAGGCTGGGCAGCCCCGGTTTTCGCCAGAGTGTCAGCTATCTCATTGCCACTGGTGTTGACATGCCCTGGTATCCATTGCATTTCAACCTTGCACCCTATTTCATCAAGTCTGCATATGTCGTTGTGAATGACGTCGACCAAGCTTGTGGTACCCTGTCTCTTCTCCAAGATCTCAAGAGCAGATCTTGAGTCTGAGAAGACAACAATATCAAGCCCCGCATGTTCCGTCCCTTCCAGAGTGATATGGACTCTCTCCAAGGCCTTGTGCATAGCTATAAGCTCCGCGTCAAAGTTTGACGCTGTAGTCCCACAAGGCCCGGAGAGTTTTTCATTAGGTGGTCCACCTACTGGGTACTGAATAAGCGCACCGTACCCAGCAGTTCTTTTCCTAAAGTCAGCAGAGCCGTCCGTGAACACTTTCACAGGTATGTGTGTGAACACATCCATGGTCTCAAGGGCAGCCACTCTCTGTACATGTTCAGGGCTTCGCTTCGTCACTGCTGCATCTGTCAAGGCCAAATGTATGGAGGGGCGTGAGGGTTCCGCATAAGGCGGATTAACTGGGATTTGGGTCAGACGTTCTCTATTTGGGGGCAGGGGAACTGTCCTCTCCAGCTCCACGACCTGGTGCATGAAAGAGGACCTCTTTAGTCTCCTGCCACCCACCCAGTTATTTTGCATTTGAAAGGCTGGTTCATTTTCACCGAGCCGTCGGTACCTCTCTACGGTATTTAAGATGGATTTTTCCCTCCTGATTTGTAGCGGTTCTACATTGGCCAAGACTTCTACAGCAGCTGTGGGAGTAGTCCTGTATGCGCCACAGATGAATCTCAGTGCCTGATTCTGGATTCGGCCCAGTTTTTCCAGTGCGGTCTTGCTTGCAAAGGATTGGACCGGCATGCTGTAATCCATCACCGACCTTACACTGCTTAGAAAGAGAGCTCTAAGCGTACTTGCGTTCGCGCCCCAACTTGTGCAAGCCAATTTTTTCACCAGGTTGAGCTTGGCGGTCGCCTGGGAGCAGAGGTCCTGTACAAAATTATGCATTTGTACCTTTTGGTCCAGCTTAACTCCGGTTGTTTGTCCCACTTTAGCGCTACATCGCCCACCTTGAGCTCGATCTCCTGTTTGAGAATGGTCCGCCCATTTGTGAATAGTGAATAGACCGTCTTCTCGGTGTTAACCCAAATTAATTTCCTGATGCCACCGCCGCATGTACCTGTTGATAGCAGAGAGGTCCTGCTGTAATAGCGTTTGCAGGCGGTGGACATCCTTCCCGGTGCTCCAAATTACCAAATCGTCCACATACATTTTCTTTCTAGATAAACATCAATATTCATGCTCTCTGGACCAGTAACGTAAGCCTTGGGGACCGGTGCCGGTCCACCATTTGAGGAACGCTGGTCTAGACCGAAAAACCTGACGCAGACAAGTGATGCTGGCAGTAGATGTCGTTAATGATCAAAGCCTGCTGAAAGCTCGGTGGCAGCTTGAATAAACGCAGAGTTTCTTTGTACTTTCGCCAAAATGAGTTATTGGTAAGCACTAATTAAACTATGAGAATTATTGTAAAAGTGATCTGTTTCTTCAAAATTTTAATAAAGTGTATATTAGCCTTTTGTGTTGCTTTTTTTTCGGCATTCGCCAGTAACCAAGTAGATAAGGTGTCACGTCACTGGTGGTGTCTCTGGCGAGACTGCAAAGCCTGACAAAGTCTTTTTTTTGTGTGGGTGGAAAATCAACATTTCTCAGTCAGATATATCCTTCTTTATGTAGTCGATGAACCAAAGAGAGATTCAAATTATTGCTAAAGCTCAGCACCAATGGCGTCGCTGATGTTACCAGAAGGTTCATGAGTTCAACACCATACCATAAATGTTACAAGGCAGCTGAAAATATTGGCCACAGAGAATGTAACAAAAGTGGTAAACTCATCAAAAGGAAAATATGGTGTGTAATTATATTGCATAAAATAAGTAGGCTACTCTGGCTAATGTCGGCTGAACGAATTGAAAAAAACCATTGTGACTGGACTTTTTTTAAGGGGGAAAGTGGTCGCCTTGTTATTATAAGCATTTAATGTGATATAGATATCAATAAGTTGGCAGACTGCAGTCTCCCATAATTTTGACTCCCACCCAATGAACCAAAACTACAATGTACAGAGAATACATAAATAGAAAAATAAGCTATTTGATTGTATATGAAGTGGAACGAAAATGCGTGGGTTCCCAAAAAATGCTTCCTGAGGCAAACGGCTCTGGGAGGGATAGGGCTGATTGCCTCAGGAAGCATTTTTTTTACAAATATGGTACAGCTTTAGGAAATATTATGTGAATCTGACATCATGGCTGCTAGGAACAGTTTGGAATGCAATAGGGGTTAAGTCATGGGGGGGGATGGGGGGGGGGGGGGGGGGGGGCAGAGAAAGTGTGGCGTGAGAACTCACCCAAGAAACAACCCCCCCCCCCTCCCAATTATTATTGTAAATGAAAGTGTCTATTGGTAGTTTACTAGGGAACTATTTGTAGTAAACTATGAATAGCTTCTAGAGTGGTATTGGTAGTCCAGCCAATCAAATCAAACCAAAATGGAGCTTTAAAAACCTGATTTCAATGACACTGGTGAATTATTGCCCCGTTCATTTATTATTAGTTCGTACTAGTGACAACACCTCTGCACTATTTATAAAATCTACTGTACTGTTTTAACATTGTCTGCTGTAGCCTTCCTCATGCTCAGATTTGGCTATGTATAATTATAATTTATAATATAGAGCTGATATAGATAGATACTGGGGGGGGGGGGGGGATTCAGGGTTGAAAAATTTTTGGAAGCTTTTTTTTTTGCCAAGGCCAAAGTAATAAGTGCAGTAAAAATAAAATCTAACTAAAAAATTTGTGTGTGCTAATTATTATGATTATAAATTAAAATATATGCCTAATAATGTCTATAAATATCATAAGAATAGTTTTACTGCATATTAATATTAGTTAAATGAAACTGTATAATAACGTGATTAGGCTTAAAGATGATAACATAAGTTTAGGCCAACTTTGGTTATCAACATGGTCATACGACAATCCCCCCCCCCCTACAATTAATTGATTTTCTGTTAGGAGGTAGGTCTACTGAGTATTATTTACACAACTGAGCCCTTGTTAACATAAAGAGGCATCAATATTTTTTTATGTACAATAATTAAACAATTTCATTTGGTATATTGTGCCTCTATGACACGAATTAATTTAACGTCTAGGAGTCACTATTTACTATTAATTTTTTAATGCTATGCAGAATCAATGTTTTAAACTCACAGAATCTGATGCCGATGAAAACATAAGCTGCAATTCCTAAAATAAAATATATACATACTTATACAAATAAAGAAAAATAAGTGTATAGTGCCTTGAAAATGCGATTGGAATGAATTTATGAGACTAGACACAAAAAATAAATTTTGTCGTCACCCGTTTTTTGTGCCACCTATTTCCTACTAAAGAGTGATTTCAGTGATGTAATTAAAAAAAACAGTGACTACCAATACTGAACTACATTAATCTATCACCAAGATAACTGAATGGACTATACTATATGTTTGAAAACTAATTCTTCAGTTTAACTTAAATAAACTACTACAAATGACATCTGAATAGCATTTGGTCTAATGGGACCAGGGTCCGAATAGCGGCGATGCATATCGCATATCCGGTTCCATTTCGACCAAATGCTATTCGGAAGTCATTTATGGTAGTTAATTTTAGTTTAAGTTTAACTGAAGAATTAAGTTTACAAACATATAGACCATTCAATTATTTTTCATTTGATACCAAATTTTGTCTTACAAACCCTACAATAATTTTTAAATAGTCAGAATAGCCACAGCCATTGCCTTAGCCTTAATTTTAAAACTTAAGACAAGTTACTTTTATTAGCAACAATCAATGCCATTGATTAACATGTTGGATTTTTTTGAATAATAAAATGTCAACGCCCCAGCATCATTCACACAAAAAACAAACAAAAAATAACATTCACATACGTTTACAGACATAAATTAAATAAATACATTAAATTTATACAGTACAGTCTTCAGTAGTTCAGTAGTTACTGAACTTCACTGATACTGTTGTGTTACTAGTGAGTGTATTGTTGTTACGCCACTCCCACAACTACATTTTTCACTTACCAATTTTTAAAAGGAAAAATATCACCATCGTGGTCACTTATAAGCCAAAGTTAGATCTTTTTGAGATTACCGATGTCTAACTGTGGAAATATCCATTTTCATATAACTCCGGTTACCGACCCCTCATAAGTGCTTGTCTTGTCATAAATCACTATTTGATAATCCAAGAACATCCTAGCTAGGTCACAAATTGATCAAAATACAAACTCTTCCGTTTCGGAATTTTTGCACTACTGAAATTGTGAATGATACTATAATAAAATAATGTATGGCTGTAACTATAAATTTACAACAATTTGTTTTTCACTTTAATAAAATGATACAAATATATTCTGAAAATAAAGCTATGTAACTTTGTATTTTAAAGAAAAAAATATGGTAATTTATTGCTCATATCTGGAATCGTGGTGACATATCGCGAAAACGAGTATATTTCTACCTCGATTACTTACTTGCAGTATTTTAAGAGTTGTCTCCCGCATGTTATTAAAAAGTTATGAGCAAAGAACAAACACCGTTGTAAACTATGTTGACTGTGCTCCATAGTCCTATATTTGTATACTATAAATAATAGGCATATGTCTGATATAATTATGGGCTCGCTGCTATGCCTATTGGGTTGATTCTGCTGGCTTTAACCATTGTTTTATTTCACTAATGGAAAGGCAAAGACGACTAGCAAGTTTAAGCCCCTTGAAGGGGCCCTTGCTTTGTTACTTTGTAATTGTAACTGTAACTTTGTTTGAGGCACTAATGCACTTCTTTTAATTTTTGGTCTTTGCTGGCATTTGTAGCAGTCATCGCCGTAGCCCATTTTGTTTCTTACGTAGTGTATGAATTACCGATTATCATCAGAATAGTTTGTCTACGAACAGCTACACATATCTACTAAATACTGTTATTGTTTACTTAATTAATTAAGTAACTAAGCCCATGACATGTCTTAAATCTATAGTAGTTAAGTTGGGGTCAGAAAACATTATTTAAATAATTTTGTGGAGGTCCTAATTGGCCATGGGCCAAGATACAAAGTCACCAATCATCCAGTTCCAGGATCTAAAATTTTCCATTTGCGGGGCAAAGAAATATGGGTGAATATCCATCAAATACGGAAATACATGTTTAAATGTTACATTCATGTACCAGTATTTTCCTGGCCTTTTTAAATATTTACTTTAATAAAGGTATTTTGATAATAAAATAATTCAAAATAAATTGTTTCCAGGGCTATGCCATAAATTTTTGTCAATGGAAAAACAAGGCCATTCATAGAATACGGTGAATCAAAAATAGCTTTGAGATTTGCACTGAAACGATTAGAAAAAAGCAGCCACAGACATCCACTTTTTTACTGTCTTGAAATTTCTTAACATCACAAGTGTCATATATTTATATATAATACATTAGGCCTTCTTTGTTTAATTGTTTGTGATGCAGGGGATGGGTGTAAATGAATCGATTTTGTTAGTTTAAATACAATATGCAGACTTATAACTGTGTTGCATGAAACCACAGATCATAAGTAGTGTAAAAATGAACAACTTTAGGAGCGTAATTTAAAGTGTTCTTTAATAATTTAAAAATAATTAGTAAATGTAAAATTCTTTCTTAGCTCGCAGGCCTTTACAAACAAGGTGGTGGGCCGCACAGAATTGATTTTGGGTTTTTTGTGATGCTTATGTAATAAAAAATATGCATTTTATATCTTAGTATAATATCTATTAAATCGATAACTATAATAATATTCGAGGAGATAAAAGACTATATGTATGCTTAACAGTACAGTGCTAGTAAAGTGGCACTAGATGGGAACAGTGCTGGTAGGGTGCCTTTGATGTCAATATTTTAATTCTGTACCAATGAGCTTATTGTAGAAAATATACCAAAATGTCAAGTGAAGAGGAAGACTACATGTCAGACACATTTTTATTAAAATGGTAAGATTTAGCCTCAAAGGTATGAAGATAAAGTCATGACAAGATTCAAAATATTAGTATTATCATATCATTCATATTGATAAAAATAATGATACCATTCCCATTTGATTTTCATTATGTGTTTACATTTATCTACTCGCATGACTTTATTAATTGTGTGTATCTGTTGAATAAAATATTTATTGATGCGATCAATTAGATCATTTCAAATACCGTTAATTTTTTTTTTTTTATATATTTGTATTTATTGTCAGTGGTGACACAAGACCTGGACTTGCCCCCAAACAAATCCAGAAAAAATATGAAAAAGAAAAGCTACATAAAGAAACAGCAAAAAAGAATGCACCAATCCCAAAGCGCCAACTTGAGGCTTTGCATCGTGAGACAGGCCTCAGTTCCACCATCTCAAGTGAAAGCAAAGGCTATGCAATGCTACAGAAGATGGGTTATAAACCAGGAATGGGGATTGGAAAGTTAGGTAATTGTTTTATTAATACTATTTAACTATTTTTATGGTAGCTTAGTTAGGCTTTACAAAAGAATAGAAATTATATGTTATAGATATATACCAATAATCAAATGCGATTGTTTTTTAAAGGAGCTTTTAAGCTTTAAACTTAATAATCCTAAAGTTTGTATGCGTCAAATGATAATATTTCATTGTCCCTCGTCACTTTGCGCTTCAACTTTCACGGCTTCACTCTATCGCGTTATTTTTCCTTTTAATGTTAAAAAATTTATTTAGAGGGCTGTGATCTGGTTTTCTAGGCTCTAACTATAAAAATATTTGATTTACAAATAAAGAATCCTACTTCATGGAAATTCACTTATCTCTGTAGAGTCTGGAACTAATTAACCGCGATAAACGAGGGACGACTGTATTGATTTTCATTATTTTGTCATCCAATTTAATAAATCTTAAACTATAAAAATTGGCTCTGTCTGTCTTTGATAATTGTAAAATTCAATTTATCATCTAATAAATGGACATCATAAAAAACAAACTTTAAAGTTAGAGTGAGAGGATATTCAATACCCATGTTTTATGTTAGGCATCCTATCAATCTTCTTTCATTGCTGTATAATTCAGGGACAGGTAGAACTGAGCCTGTCCCCATTGAACTCAAAACCGGACGTTCAGGATTGGGTAGGGATACAGAAATGAAGCGTAAAGCAACAGAGATGAACAACATGAGAGCGGTGATGGCAGTCAAGCGGAGAAAAGCAGCGGAGAAAGATAAAGAAACATTCATGGGTAGAATGAGTGAAAGATTCAATGAAAGAAATGTTTGGAGAGATCTGAATACAGCACAGAAGGCATGTTTACAACTAGACCAAGAACAGGTGAGGAAATATCTATCAATAGTTTAATTCACTCAGTTTGAGAATCTTTTCATTATTCAAACTTATTTTTCTTTTATCACGAAATTAAAAACTTTTTAAAAAAATGTTAATTCAGAAAAAAGCCACATTTTGTGCATGTACACATATTCTGGCACTGGTTGTGATAAATGTACAACACATATACATATTCAAGGACCGGTAGTGATATATTTTATAGAGTATAAAGAAGAGATGAAACAGCTCTAACTGGCCTTGTGGTGCAATTGTAACATTATCTTGACAAAGAGGCATTGCAGCAGCTCTAGTGCCTTATTTAGGGTGCTGGGTAGCCAAGCGGTCTAAACTGAGGCAATGCCAAGCTTGTGCACCCTGTCCCCATCAAAAGCCACGATGAACCAAAACAACACCAACACCGATTTAAGAGAAGGCAGGCAATGAGATTATTTCAGATTGGAGTCTGTAGGCGCTATGACATAAGTGCACTGTGAAACACAAGACACGCTGCTGGTCACCCACTGCATCCTGGTCTATTTCCAGTCATCTTGATGAAGTCTTGCCATTGGATCAAATAGTCAAAGTTGAGAGAGGGAGGTTGATGAATTGAGGAACTCTTCCTTACTTTAAACAAAATACAGCTCAAGTCAAGGCTGCTACGCTGTTGGAGGCCTTGGTCATCTTTGCACGCGAAGGACAAGCTAAAGTGCCAGATTAATTGTTTATTCTTTTATACTAATGTTTAATTGGTTGTCATTTATCACGAGGCTACTGGGGTTTCACAGTTATTATTAGTCCAGAAATTGCGTTTGAGGAGCTCAGAATGATTCATTATGACAATTACATTTTTTTAAAAATAATATATTAGGATTTGCTCTCTATATTGTTGACATTTTATTTCTTACTTGATCAGGGTATCAGTGAGCCTGGGGAGCCATTTTTTTGGCCAGCGGTTAGTTTGCAAACTGAGGAAGAAGATAAAACAGGTGAGGAGGAAGATACAGAGAAGGACAAGTTACAAGACTATATCAATGATGTCAATGCTAAGCATCCAGATGTTGAAGATGAAATTGATAAGGATGAAGTTATTGAATGCCCGACATACTTAGAGTTCTCTGTAAGTTTTCTTAACCAACATTTCTGGTAGAAATCTCATGAGACATCATATTGCATTAAAGATTATAATGAAATGTGTGAATTATCTTATCCAGTATTGCTCTTTTTGGAGCTAAGTTTATGACTGTAGTATCAAGGAAATAAGGGGCAATGTCAGGTTATTATTGAGTTCAGGGGAAATGTTAATGATGAGATCCTCAAACTAGAAGGTTAAAAGAAATTTCTTTTTATTTTGATCTGGCTGGTTCAATTAAGCAATGCTGTTTCTATTTTCTCATTTTCAGGAATCTGAGAGATTAGAGATTGTAACAAGATATTTACGAAATACCTACTTTTACTGTTTATGGTGTGGTACAAAATATGATGGTTAGTATTAATAGTTTATTTTTTCTATGTTTGACCCCAGGTGGGCATAGACAGTCTATTGTTTATGCCACACCACGTTGGCTTTCTGTCTTTCATCTTTAGTGTATGAGGGTTTTTTTCTCTGGTTTTACCTATTTCATTCTAAAAAGCTGAATGCTGCTTCTTTATAAGTTCTGATTGCTGCTTCTCTATAAGGTCTGATTGCTGCTTCTCTATGTGGGCTGAGATGATGTCATTGACAGAAAACTCACAGGGAAGGGGGTGGGGGGGGGGGGGCATGATTTCATTGATATTTTTAAATGACAATGAGAGATGTGTATCAAGGGATGTACTGGGACACAGTCGGCGCAGGGAATCTCATAACACCATTTTCATTGACAGAAAACTCACAGGGAAGGGGGTGGGGGGGGGGGGGCATGATTTCATTGATATTTTTAAATGACAATGAGAGATGTGTATCAAGGGATGTACTGGGACACAGTCGGCGCAGCGAATCTCATAACACCATTAGTCCCAGCCATAGAATCTCATAACACCATTAGTCTTAGCCATAGAATCTCATGACATCATTAGTCCCAACCATAGAATCTCATGACACCATTAGTCCAAGCCATAGGGAATGGGTAATTTCATTCATTTTTTTTTTTTTTATGAAATACAAAAATTAAAGTTGAAATTTATCATAGTTTTATGATTTTTTTGAATATTTTTTTTAAAAATCGGATCCTCGAGATTGTGTACTGAATGGGTAACCCTTGTCATGAGCCCTCTTATGTTCAGGTGATCTTTCCTTAGATTACAACAATTTTTTTCTGATCTTACATTGTTTTTTAATGTGCCCAAGAAAACACAAAAATAATATAAGAAATCAAACCAATACTAAATTTAAATCAAAATATCAACAGGTCATTTATTACTTAAATATACTAAGAAATATAATATGGAAATATGCATCATTATTGTCACATAAATATAAGAGTGTAGGACTGATAAATCTTCAAAGTAGATTAAATGGACACAAACGATTTGTGTAAATAAAATAATATAAGTCAGGATTTAATAATGATCATACAGAATACAAAATATAGATGTTTTGGCAAATGCCTTCATCAGTACAAAAAACATTCATTAAGTAATAATTAAATGTACATAATATAGATATATATTCATGTATATGACCTAAAAATGAGAGAAAAGAATAAGAGTGGGTGCCAGTCCCTGACAAAAACAAAGCTCAGAAGAACAGAAAGGAAGTGAGTGGAAGTAAACATTAAAAACCAAACTATCTTTTTAGAGATAGAGTGCTTACTAATCTTTTTAGAGATAGAGTGCTTACTAATCTTTTTAGAGATAGAGTGCTTACTAATCTTTTTAGAGATAGAGTGCTTACTAATCTTTTTAGAGATAGAGTGCTTACTAATCTTTTTAGAGATAGAGTGCTTACTAATCTTTTTAGAGATAGAGTGCTTTCTAATCTTGTTAGAGATAGAGTGCTTACTAATCTTTTTAGAGATAGAGTGCTTACTAATCTTTTTAGAGATAGAGTGCTTTCTAATCTTGTTAGAGATAGAGTGCTTACTAATCTTTTTAGAGATAGAGTGCTTTCTAATCCTGTTAGAGATAGAGTGCTTACTAATCTTTTTAGAGATAGAGTGCTTTCTAATCTTTTTAGAGATAGAGTGCTTACTAATCTTTTTAGAGATAGAGTGCTTTCTAATCCTGTTAGAGATAGAGTGCTTTCTAATCCTGTCAGAGATAGAGTGCTTGCTTGCAAATCCTATTAGAGATAGAGTGCCTGCTAGTCCTATTGGAGATAGAGTGCTTGCTAATCCTGTCAGAGACAGAGTGCTTATTGGTGCTATTGGAGATAGAGTGCTTACTAATCCTGTCAGAGACAAAGTGCTTACTAGTCCTAATAGAATAGAGTGCTTACTAATCCTGTTACAATTATTATATTGTATAATAGTATAGATTCCTAACCTAACTGTTATAGTTTTAAAATCTATACCGGTAATGAGAGAGTATTAGTTTCTATATCATAAGTTCTATGTTATGCTCCATGAACTCCATGGAGTAACTTCTCAACATATTTGTATTTGTCATTTGTTCTAATCTCTCTAGACAAACAAGATCTGGAATCCCATTGTCCTGGAAACTCTAATGAAGCCCACGAATAATCTCTTTAACAGTGAGCAATATTATAGTTATAGCCTCTACATGTTGCCTTATAATTAGAGTGAGTTTCTGGAATAACTTAAAGTTATAGATAACAATATCTGTTTTCTGAGCCACTCTCCCACAAGAGGCCCTTTGGACTGTGGATGAGTAGTCCTTACTTAAGTATAACCATTTCAAGTTGGTGTTGAGTTGACAGCTGCAACCGACCCCAGGGCGTACATCATCCACCAATTCCAGGTGTACATGATCTTCCACAAATTCCAGGTGTACAACTTTTACCACTTTTATTTTTGCTACATAACAAGATATAAATATAATGCTATGCCATAGAAAGTCTAATACCTGGTAACTGAGATGTACTAATGATTTCTCACAAGGAAGCTCTGCATTATTTTTACAGATTATTATTATTATTATTATCTCAGCTAATTCATGGATTAAAGCCCTGGTAAAATTCTTTATAATATGTGAAGGACTGCGTTCACTATGTTTGAAGTAAATAAATAGTGGAACAAGATATGCGTAGGTTTGAAAAGAAAAGATTGGACAATGAAATGCACCAGACATAACATTCTTGAATTTTTTCTGAGCAAATTAATGACCCTAAACAGTAAAGCTCTCATTGCATCATTTGAAAGGGCACCAGAGATTTTCTTTTTAGTTGACATCATTGAATTTAGCTGTTCCAATCGTGAAATGTGTGTTGATTCAGTTTTAAAAATTTCACCAATAAAATGTATCTTGTAACGTATGAGAAAAAGAAATGTTTTGAATTTTAAAAATCTGGCTATTACACAGTTCTAATTTTTTTTTAAAGAGAATTATGATTTAATGTGTTTTCATGATTAATTACTTTGACCATGAATTGCGCACAAGTCAGTTTCAAGAAATTTCAGTTCAAATAGTGTCAACTATATCAAAAGCCAGCTGGACAGATACGCCAAATTTAGTGCAAACTAAAGTTTATTTGTTGATGTTCCTCTGTAAATTCTAAAACTGCATTGTTTTTTTTTAAATTTTCTTTCAATAAAATCGGTATTTGTTTTTTTTTAAAAAGAAATGTTTACTTATACTTATAACTTATTGTTATACCTTTTTTGTAATATTTTGTTAATGGACAAAAAAAACGGGTTTGAAATGAAAAATTGTCAAAATATCATCACACCTAAAAATAATAAGATTATAACCGACTGTCAAAGATTAGATCAGGGGTCGGGAACCTTTTTGTCTGAGAGAGCCATGAACACCACAAATTTTGACAAGTAATTCTGTGAGAGTCATACATTATGTTTAAAACTAAAAATTCAAGTAAATGTGTGCATTTTGTGTAATTTCAACACTAAAAATGCAATAATTATGTCTCTGAATTCTTTTTAATAACATTGTTATGCTGTTGCTAATTAATAATGAGTATTTCTTACCATTAATTCGACTTTTTTTTATAATAGAATATTTGGCTGCGAGCCAGATGCAGCCATCAATAGAACCATATCGAGCTCGCAAGCCATAGGTTCCCGACCCCTGGATTAGATGTCAAATGAGGTATGGCCCATGACGTACCAAGTAGTATTGATGTTGGTTAATGGGGAGCTGCTCCTCTCTGTGTTAGCTCAGTATCCAGACGTCGAGGAATATAATGAAGACGACATAGACAATGAATGACTAATCCATTAATCTTCAACTTCAAACCTCCAAAACCTCCCCCCCCCCACCCCCTTGGAAATCGCACCCCAGCTCATTTTTCATTAAATAAAAATCGTGCCACCTATGGGGAAGTTCCGAACAAAACACATTATAAATGACATGAAGAAGCAATGGAGCACCGTTGTCAAACCCCAACCCATGTTAGCTCAGTATCCAGACGTCGAGGAATATAATGAAGACGACATAGACAATGAATGACTAATCCATTAATCTTCAACTTCAAACCTCCAAAACCACCCCCCCCCACCCCCTTGGAAATCGCACCCCAGCTCATTTTTCATTAAATAAAAATGGTGCCACCTATGGGGAAGTTCCGAACAAAACACATTATAAATGACATGAAGAAGCAATGGAGCACCGTTGTCAAACCCCAACCCAGTCATTTGTGACACTGGCTTACTTCTGGTGCTGTGTTTTTAAGACTATTAAGTATTATTTTCAGGCTTTGACATCATAAATTTTATTATCCAGAAAAAAATAATTTCTGGAATATTTCCACAGAACATTTCTTCTTCTGTTTGTTTTTCTTGAACTTGGTCTTGACAAAATGTTTCCTACTTTTACTTGAACTTGGTCTTGACAAAATGTTTCCTACTTTTACTTGAACTTGGTCTTGACAAAATGTTTCCTACTTTTACTTGAACTTGAACAGCTGTCAGCCCCCAGAAACAAACATATTTTATTTTGTACAACTTTAAAATTGAAAAGAGTGTATGTTAAAATGTCAATTATAATTGTTTAAAAATGTCACATAGAACAAAATGAAGCAAAAATAATTGTAAAAGTGATACATCACTTACCATGTAACTGTTAGTAATATAATAGTCTTTGGTGGTTTTTTCCTTCCAGAAAGTTCTTTTTAAAACCTTTATCCAATTTGGTGTTAGTTGTGTTTGATAGTTGGTCCTATAGATAAGTTTTGTTAAATTGACTTCAATTGATTGGTGTTTATCAGATCATACCAGGACAGATTCTCAAATCTATGTTGAAGTTAAAGGATTATGTCGTGTATGTTGAAGGTACAGGATTATGTCGTGTATGTTGAAGGTACAGGATTATGTCTATGTTGGAGTTACAGGATTGTATAATATAAATCTGCTTAAGATAAAATAAGATTCTTTATTAATCGAAATACTTGTACTTATTCATTTTCACCACGTAAATAAATACATGTTATAATCAAGATAACGTTTTAAAATTATGCCAATTTAAACACAAGACATCTGAAGTATTTCTCTAGTGTAGAAATCAGCCATCAATGAACTCCCTTAGTGACAAAAAGACTTAATAAGTGATCATTTAGATTTGGTAACCTCTGGGGGAACATGCTGGTCAATTCGTACTGACTGGGGAACCAATGAATTTTGATGTCTTTCTGTCCTAACTTTAAGTGAAAGAAACCCTGATGGAGTCGATCTGAGGTATCTGGGATGAAGATATTTTTACAACAGCATTTTTCTTCAACTTCAGATAGCTCCCCAAGTGTAGGATGTTAAGTTTGGAGTTTGTGTGATGTCACTAGCTTTCTTGATTAGTCTGTTCACTGGTGCTTGATGTCAGGTGATGAATGCCCACACCAGCTGGTAATAGCGGTACTGAAGTCATTAGGCTTCCAACTGTGTGTGAATAACACTATTCCGTAACTAAAAGATGTTTTAACCATATAGGGTAAATTAAACCCATTAATTCTAGTATTACACTTACACTCTGGTGAGAAGTTGGGCTTATTACACTTACACTCTGGTGAGAAGTTGGGCTTATTACACTTACACTCTGGTGAGAAGTTGGGCTTATTACACTTACACTCTGGTGAGAAGTTGGGCTTATTACACTTACACTCTGGTGAGAAGTTGGGCTTATTACACTTACACTCTGGTGAGAAGTTGGGCTTATTACACTTACACTCTGGTGAGAAGTTGGGCTTATTACACTTACACTCTGGTGAGAAGTTGGGCTTATTACACTTACACTCTGGTGAGAAGTTGGGCTTATTACACTTACACTCTGGTGAGAAGTTGGGCTTATTACACTTACACTCTGGTGAGAAGTTGGGCTTATTACACTTACACTCTGGTGAGAAGTTGGGCTTATTACACTTACACTCTGGTGAGAAGTTGGGCTTATTACACTTACAGTCTGGTGAGAAGTTGGGCTTATTACACTTACACTCTGGTGAGAAGTTGGGCTTATTACACTTACACTCTGGTGAGAAGTTGGGCTTATTACACTTACACTCTGGTGAGAAGTTGGGCTCTATATGGGATACGTTTCATCTAAGGAACCTGTGTGAAGTAAACGATTTTCACAAAAATAATACATGGGAAAGCATGAAATATAAAACAAGACGAAGGATTTAGTTTCTAACAGACTTCAACAAACAGAACAATATGAAATCTAAAAGAGAAACTGAAACAAACAGAAGTTGACCTTAATATAGATATTAGAAGTAGCCTAAGTATGGCTATTACCTGGGTATTACTAGTATTAGTGCGCTGCTTCAATTTCAACAACAATTTTGTGTCATAATTTGTTTTTCAACTAGGAAAAAGGCAGTGTTACAGGGCCTGATTAACCTAAAGACAAATGGGGGCACCTTATAGCGGCCCCGCGACAAAGAATCCTTATTTTCTTAACTGATATGAAATTGAAAGAAGTCCATACGTTACAACAATTTATACAAGGGGAGAAGATCAAGAAGTAATGGAAGTAACAATCGCCGAATATTTATCCTGTGATGATGTTCAACAAAGGACGGCTTGTGAGCGACCGTCGTGGTATGATGATGACAAGAGAGAAGGGGAAACCAAAGTTGGGCTTACAGGATTTAAGATAAACCTTTAGAACATACAACAAACGAGCTCTTTGAACCTTTCAAATGTGTCAGTGTCATAAAAACAAGTTGAAACCTAATGACTAAAAATTAAAACGAGAAATTTGCTAGTCGTAAGTTCGACTTCACTGGCACTAAATGAAACAGAATCGGATGTGATTTGAAGATAATCTCTTAATGAGCAATTAGGTGAAGACAAACATGAGTACAGTCTAAAATTATGCAAACACAAGAATAGTCTTAAAGTAGATTTATCTGAATTAAGCGTTTCAGTAGACATGTATTACATTTTTTTAAATGTAATCATCATCCCCGGGTGGATCAATCCAATTTTGGAGGCCATGTGCCACTTTACGGTTTGATGCCTTCTGCATTCAAAGTTTGTGGGTTGTTTTATTCCACATAACAACTTTGTGTTCCTGAAATATCCGAGGCCCCCTGTAGCCCCAAGGGTTGCGAGGGCCGCCCCCGTGGCCCCAAGGGTTGCAGGGGCCGGACGAGGGCCGCCCCCCGTAGCCCCAAGGGTTGCGAGGGCCGCCCCCCATGGCCCCAAGGGTTGCAGGGGCCGGACGAGGGCCGCCCCCCGTAGCCCCAAGGGTTGCAGGGGCCGGACGAGGGCCGCCCCCCGTGGCCCCAAGGGTTGCAGGGGCCGGGCGAGGGCCCTGGAGACAAAACAAGACGTCAACTTTTCCTGAGACGGAAATCCTCCAAGTGTGGATATTGTGAGACTGGGGTAATAAGGGGAGAGACTGCAATCAGGTTAGTACAAAATAAAATGAGTAAAACAGAGTATGGTTAAACCTGAAAAATTAAACGCAACAAAACAGCGAACGTGTCGGCAGAAAGCCTTCGTCAGCGTACAGAAAAAACGTTATAAAAATAAGAAATAGCACTTAGCTGGTAAGTAGTATCTGTGGGCAGCAATAGAAGTGTGGCAGAAGGAAAATGAGTGAGAGTTTAAATAAGCAGCGGCGAAAAAAGGGGGGAGAAAAAAGTTCACTGTGATAGGTCAGAACGTGGAGGGGCGGAGCTAGGGTCAAGCTGTGAACAGAGACATAACATTAATCCCATCTGGCGTCAAAGTGCCGTAAGTCAGGATAAGTCTGTGTTCCAAATTGACCCGGCTGGCGGTGTTAGTGCTGGCCACAATCGCACTTATTGAAAAGTCCGCCTTGCCCCGGTGGTCACTACTATTGAAGTGTTTGGAGACGGGACACTGTTTATCTTGTGTAATGTTTCGGAGGTGTTCGGTACACCTGTCCGAGAGACGGCGTCCAGTCTCCCCTATGTATGTCATCTGACAGCGGGTGCGATAAATTGAGTAAACATTTCAATGTCGGCTAATTGGGTCAGCGACTAAACGACCAAAAATTGTAAAACAAAAGCCACTTATATATTTCTCAGTCAAGTATAAAAGGATTGATTTATTTTTTTTTTGTTCAGGGCCGCTCTTTTGATAGAACACGGTTTTATTTGGGCACGGCAACGGAGCCACTCACCCCGCATGAAATAGAGTGAAATAGCAACGGCCGTGCGAAGGTCTAATGGGTAGCCACCAATGTTCCCTTTAAGCTGCGCGGCCGCGCAGCAATCTCACAGACGCCGCGCAGCAGTTTTGGGTACCGCGCAGCTAATTTTCACTTAAGTTTGTGTCTGTAGGCTGAAAATTTTGCGCACAACAAAATTGATGCTGTAAAAATTTGCACACAACTTTATGATTTTGCACACGAACCAACAAACCTTAGAGGGAACACTGATAGCCACCCCAGGTGATAGCCTCAATTGTACAAAATTATCGTAAATAAGCGGTCCACTCATCAGGCCGGTTCCTTTATTTATTTATTATTATTTTTTAAATATGTGACTGTGGAGTAGGGTCATTTTGTGAGACAGCAACACAAATAAAGGTAGTTAATAAGACGCAGAGCATAATTTAATGATGAAATCTTAAATTGTTATTATTATTACAGTGGTCTTAAATAGCGTGGCGGTACCCCAGCCTAGGGCTTAAGGCTGGGCTCACCGTGCTGCACATACAAATTCAATATTAGCAGACATAATCATGACATCAACAAATAACCCAGCCTAGGGCTTAAGGCTGGGCTCACCGTGCTGCACATACAAATTCAATATTAGCAAACATAATCATGACATCAACAAATAACCCAGCCTAGGGCTTAAGGCTGGGCTCACCGTGCTGCACATACAAATTCAATATTAGCAAACATAATCATGACATCAACAAATAACCCAGCCCAGGGCTTAAGGCTGGGCTCACCGTGCTGCACATACAAATTCAATATTAGCAGACATAATCATGACATCAACAAATAACCCAGCCCAGGGCTTAAGGCTGGGCTCACCGTGCTGCACATACAAATTCAATATTAGCAGACATAATCCTGACATCAACAAATAATCAAAAGTCAGGTATTCGCCGAAATCCATTCCTGCATTTTGAAATTATAACCCATCCCTCGACCCCCCTCCCCCTTTCGTTCAATGTGCAGCCTTCGTGCCCCAGGTGGCCCTCGACCCCCCCTCTCCCCCTTTCATTCAATGTGCAGCCCAGGTGGTGCCTTTTCCCGGTGTTGCCAACATGTGTTTAACAAATGTTTTATTAAAACTATAAGCCCCTGTCAAGGGGGCTGTGGAGAGGTCGCCCCCCCCCCCGGGCTGGCACGTTTCTCTTTCTATTTTCATGGCCTTTTTTTGTCAAAACAGTCTACAGTCTAGATTTATTGTTTGAAGGGTGGGAGTCAACAGCTTGTTCCACCCCGGTATGCCAGCAACCCTAGCTAAGCCACTGCTGATATGACATTAAGATAAAACTTTTTTAGGGGGTGGGGGGTGGGGGACAAAAAAATGTTGATAGTTTACGGGCTTTCATGGGTCATAATCCAGCATTGAGAGTTACTAAGATTTCTCAAATTATTTTTTTTTAAATCTCGTGTGAAAAATAACACAGTTTTCCCCCGGGATATGGGTAAATAGCCGGCTATAGGGATTCTTATTTAGTTCTGTCAAGTAACTTTAGTAGAGAAGATGTTCACGCATTGCTGTCGCCATTGTTTGGCGGGCTATAGTGAGCACATAATATAATAGTACATTTTGAACTTAGATGCGTATGTGAAACTTTTTTTTTACAATTAGGACGATTAAACATGGTTTATAGTTGGAGTTCAATAATATGTGAACAGACAGGAACTACACATGCAGTGGCGTAGATAGGGGTACGGACAGCACCGGGAGACACCAACCCTGGCTCCGCCACTGTAGGCCTACACATGCATTGTACTGATCGATTCCATTTGAACAAAATTCAGTCCGAACAAACTTCCGCCGCAGAATTTTCCCTGAAACAAATTTCTTTCGTACACATTTCTAGATGAGGAAGACTTTTAACGATGTAATATATATTTTTTTTAAAAACATAACACATGGTATAGTATAGACTATAGGTTATAACTTTTTAAAAAATAAAAAAAGGTTTTATAACTTCCCGTAATTTTGTGTAAAATACCAACAGATTAATTGAAAAAAAACAAAAAAAAAAACCTTTTAAAAAGACTTTCAGTCACTTTCTTTTAAGGCGAATTTAAACACACTAAAAAGTAGAAAACTTATTTTAAATTTCTTAAAATGCATTAAGCAAAGAAACTCTTTTGGCCGAAATTTGTTGGTGTCCAAGCCTAAAATTTGGATTAGCTCGGGCCCCCCAAATTTTTTTTTTTCGGGGAAGTTCCCCCTCTTACAATGTCCAATTTTACTGAGGAAATCAATCATACAAAAAGCAATTTTTATTCACTAATATAGAATGAGTAAAACAAAGAAGGGTTAAACCTGAAAAAAAGGAACGCAACAAAACAACGAACGTGTCGGCAGGAAACCTTCGTCAGCGAACAAAACAACAGAAAAAAAACAGTATTAAAAAAAAAATAGCACTTAGCTTAGAAGTAGTAGACCTATCCGTGGTCAGCAAAAACGCTCATTTTTTACTCATTCTATATTGTGCTAACTTAATTGCAGTCTCTCCCCTTATTACCCCTTTGTTCACTAAGCAGTTAAATTTAAAAGTAATGTCCCTTATAATGTGTATTTAAACTTTGGGAAATGAGAGCCACACTGTGTTATGAAACAAAATTAACTTCCGAATGGAGGGTTTTCAAATCAAAACACAATGATAATTATTAAATGATGGCAGTTCTCGTAGTGCGCTAGAAAAAAATAAATAAAATCAATACGAATATAAATATGTTTGGTCTACATTGTCTCGATGATTCGCAATATGCAAGACAACTGCAAGAAGAGTATGACAGAGAGGCAGCGGCACTACTAGCGGACGATGTCAATGATGACAAAACTCAAAATGGAAATAATGGCAAGCTCACAAATTCACCTATGAAATCTAAACCAAATACATCAGGATTGTCGCCAGTAGATCCAAGTCTTGAATTTTTAGATCCTAATCCAAATATTCTTGAGCTTTTTCTTCAATATAATGTTCAGTTTTTCTGGGGGCGGCTTGCAGGTATTGAAGTTAAATGGAGTCCAAGGATGACTTTGTAAGTTTCAAATTAATTTATTAATAATTATTCCTTCAAAGTTCAGTATTCTGAGTTAGAATTAACCTTAAGATGATTATATAACGATGTAATATTAAATTTTTTGGTCAATTTACGCAATGCATGCCACTTGCACTTTCTGTTTAGGACTCTCTCCCATGTCCATGTGTATAGGCCTACTTGGACTTTGTGGATTGTTACTAGAATTAACCCTTCTTTATTTTAATCATCATCCCTAAAAATAATAAGATTATAACTGAATTACTTCTGGAACATTGCCAGCCTTACTGCTAATCCCAAATCAGCCATAATTATTTATTAGGTCTACTTAAATGTTATGCCATGCTAATAAGTTATAAGCAGTTAGCGACAGGATCTTCAAACTTCAATGGGATGTAGGTCATGGAGGTTCCCCAAGTCAGCTGCCGGCCATAGTTCCGTATTCAAAAGATTTTTATTTTTATCACTTATTTATTTGATAAAAGTTTGTTTTTTCACTACAGTAAAACCTGGTTATGTTGACGGCCTCGGGATTTGCCTAAAAATGACGAGATAACCGAGAACCAATATGGTGACAATATATTAACATGTGCTTGAAATTTCTTTATGTACAATATGTGCGTTAATAAATGCAGGTACTTCAGTAAAAAAAAAAATAATAATTTTTTTAATATTACAGTTATTTAGAGCAAATTTCAAAATTAAAAAATTTAAACCAGAGTCAATTTTTTAACTTAAGTATATTTTGAGCTTTGAATTTTTAAAGTGCAAGTTTGTTTGGTATTTTCTACTATGGATGAAGCCTCCACATTTTGTGACCTCATTCTGCTGATCTTGACTTGCACAATGACTATATAGTTAATATAAGCCAACACATCCCCTTATTACTAAAATACTATTTAGGGACTACTTATTTTGAACTTTCAACTTTGGCACATGACTATTCAATTAAAGCTTTCCCTGACCAATGGTTTAATAGCTTTTGCACACGGCAAACTCTTATGAATGAAACTCTGATGTAGTACCATGGCATAGCCATTATGCAAGTGACCGTGAATGGCTGCCCATGACAATGTTTTGCTCACGGAAAATTATGATCATTTATAATATGGACTCTACCGGATTTTTAAACCTCGAATCAAAACCTTTATTTAAATTACTTCTAGGTTCATTCTAAAACACAAGTCCCATATTTTGAGGAATAAATAATTATTTTTAATTATGAAAAACATGTTTATTTGTTGCTTGCTATTTCTTCTTGCGTAGTTCAAAAGCCGGTGATCGGTCATGGGGATCAAGATAACTGAGGTTAAGTGGCAAATTGGGCCGCCTTTTGTGCTCAAGATATCAGGGTTCGGCAACAAAAAAGAATTGATATAACCGAGTAAAAATGCTAAGACAAAGAGAGAATTTGGTGGTTCTACTTCAAAAACGTCGACATAACAGGGTTGGCGAGTTAACCAAGGTCGAGATAAGCGGGGTCTGACCGTATTTTTTATTTTGACTTGAAAAGGGGAGGAGTGGGGGGGGGGGCCCTCCCCAGAAATTATTTTGATTCTTATTTTTGTTTTGAAAATGGGGCAAGGGGTTTGCCCCAGAAAATTAAGTTGATATTAATTGTGGTCCAGTATGGTGACATAATGATAATATGGAATAGTATATGGGTGTCTCTTTTATCAACCAATCAAAAGACAGCATTAATGATGCACGCATATTTTTTCCAGAGTGGATTTTGGCCCTTGGGGTACCAGCAATTTATTTTTGTAACACTGTAATGTAAGTTGAATTTCAATAAAAGGAATGGACATTTTCATTTTAATATATATCTTATTAACTATATCAATTAATAGATTTACTTTATGAAGCGAATAATTCTTAGTGAACAAATGGGAAAATTATTATACACAGCATTCTGGACCAACGGTTGGTCTATACGCCGTTAGTCCAGTGTTGGTATTCCCCAAAGTGATCGTACTGTGCTTTGGAGGAGACAACCCTAGGCAAAACCCATGGTGTTAACTATACTTTTATTAAAAGTTAAATTAAAATTATTAGTACTTTTCTAATTTGCATCTACTTGTAGAGTTAGTGTTGCAATTCTTATCAGAGAATTCTGCTCCTTGCAGTTTTTTCTCACTCTCTCCTTTGAAGATCTTATAGTGTGTTTTCCCTGGTCCTCCTCTCTTGATCTTAACTTCCTCAGACTCTGTGTAAGGCCAATCCATCTCCTATTTCTTTACAGAATATCCTTTTTACGCAAGATCACTTCCTGGTTTTATAAAAATAGATCTCACTAGGGATTCCTGTAAACCAATTTATTTTAACAAATCGACACAAATGTCTATTGATAAAACATGTTTGGTGTTGAGTTTTGTTGTTCTCCATGTTTTACAACAATAAAGATGAAAATAAATTGACCTACTCAAACTTACTGGGTCGTACGTACACAAGGGGCAATACAGGAATAGTGACATGGATTGCCAGTCATCCACATTTGATGATATATTTCCAATGAAATATATTAAAATTGTACTAGAAATGTGATAATGAATTTTTAATTGATAACTCATTTTAATTAATGTATATTGATTGCTCAGATGTGCAGGTCTCTGTGTGTATGAAGGTCATGGTGGATTATGTTCTGTTAGACTTAGTTTGCCATTACTGAAGCTGCGGCCAAGAAAAGATTTAGTAGAAACACTTTTGGTAAATAAGAACATTTGAGGTTAACATTTGTGACAAAGTATTTTTAACTTACTTAAGAAATTTGAACCAAACATAATAATATATGAACAATTTTACATATTAAAATAACTTAGGCAAAGTTAAATTAAAAAAGAGCTGATGCATTTTATTAAAACGAACATAACCCTTGGATAATTTTTTTCTTTATAGTCATTTAAAAATAAAGTTTCAAGTTTTGTGTTAATTTTTTTTCATTAAGCCAATTAAGCTGCAACTTTTGGTGATTAAAATTTATACTAAAAGGAATTTGTTTACATTGAATTTAAATTCTACTGTCCACAGCATGAGATGATTCATGCCTATTTGTTTATTACAGACAACGACAGAGTAAGTATGCCACAGCTGTTTGATCAGGGCTGGAAAGATGGCTGTGAGAATAGATTACTTTACTACTTTACATAATAACCTTTGTTGGGTTTACTAGTAATAATAATAATTAAATTAGAATTAATGCAAACAGTTTTATTTAAATAAAAATTTACTACACTCTACAAGAGCCACCCAATTATGTCTAACTTATCCAAACTATTTGTCTTTTAGGATCATGACGGGCATGGTCCACAGTTTCAGAGTCATATGCACAGGATCAACAAATCAACCGGAGCAAATATTTCAGTAAGGAAATGTTTACAACAATCGTTTCCCAACATGTTTCCCAGGACCTGTAGATTTTATATGGCAACTCCACCATCCCTCGCCTGAGACTTAGCTCCAGCTTCCCCAAATGAAAGAATATCATGTTAAGCAACCGTTTCACTTCATTTCTTTCAACCTTTTAAATTGCTTCCCATACTTTGTTGGCTGATGAAGGTCTCCCATACTTTGTTGGCTGATGAAGGTCTCCCATACTTTGTTGGCTGATGAAGGTCTTCCCATACTTTGTTGGGTGATGAAGGTCTTCCCATACTTTTTTTGCTGATGAAGGTCTTCCCATACTTTGTTTGCTGATGAAGGTCTTCCCATACTTTGTTTGCTGATGAAGGTCTTCCCATACTTTGTTGGCTGATGAAGGTCTCCCCATACTTTGTTTGCTGATGAAGGTCTTCCCATACTTTGTTGGCTGATGAAGGTCTTCCCATACTTTGTTGGCTGATGAATGTCTTCCCATACTTTGTTTGCTGATGAAGGTCTTCCCATACTTTGTTGGCTGATGAAGGTCTTCCCATACTTTGTTGGCTGATGAAGGTCTTCCCATACTTTGTTTGCTGATGGAGGTCTCCCCATACTTTGTTTGCTGATGAAGGTCTCCCCATACTTTGTTTGCTGACGAATGTCTTCCCATACTTTGTTTGGTGATGAAGGTCTCCCCATAATTTGTTTCGCTCATTTCCATAAAGTAACGAAAGCCGTGTAAATTACTGTTACTGTTAGACTATCGGTCACCTACCTGGCAAATAAAGGCACACAAAAGCTAAATGGGTGCCTTCGAAAGCAACACTACAATAGTTTTTATTTAAATTTGACTGACATGGAGTGAACACAGACGAACTTTAATTTCAGAATGGAGGACTTGAAATGACTTTATAATAGAATAAAAATGTGGACTTATTTCATTCTGTTGTTTCTACCGGACAGATATACCACAGCTTTCACGATGAGGTTGAAGCTTATCAGCAACACTGGTGGAAATGTGATGGACCCTGCCAAAACCGTAAGCCCTATTTCGGCTACGTTAAGCGAGCAATGAATCGGGCACCTTCACCCAGAGATTTTTGGTGGGCAGAACATCAAGCAACCTGTGGCGGCACATATACAAAAGTTAAAGAGCCGGAAGGTTACGGGCAAAAGAAAGGAAAGGGTAAAGAAGGTACACTAGTGGCACTAGCTGTAAGGAAAGGGTAAAGAAGGTACACTAGTGGCACTAGCTGTAAGGAAAGGGTAAAGAAGGTACACTAGTGGCACTAGCTGTAAGGAAAGGGTAAAGAAGGTACACTAGTGGCACTAGCTGTAAGGAAAGGGTAAAGAAGGTACACTAGTGGCACTAGCTGTAAGGAAAGGGTAAAGAAGTTACACTAGTGGCACTAGCTGTAAGGAAAGGGTAAAGAAGGTACACTAGTGGCACTAGCTGTAAGGAAAGGGTAAAGAAGGTACCCTAGTGGCACTAGCTGTAAGGAAAGGGTAAAGAAGGTACACTAGTGGCACTAGCTGTAAGGAAAGGGTAAAGAAGGTACACTTGTGGCACTAGCTGTCTTGTTTTATCAATTTGATTAACTATTGACTATTTGAATTTCCTACACCTAAGAACAAAAAAATTTATTAAAAAAACACCATTTGGCCAAGTATTGAATTTTAAACTGCAGCTAAAACAAAAGCAAAAATGAAACTGAAAGACAAATATGCTCACCAGATTTATGTACGAAGATTATGGTTTGGAGGTTACTATTATTGTTTATTTTAAGATTTTCATGAGTACAAAATGTTGAATTTCACAAGTACAAAGTGTTGAATTGCACTAGTATAAAGTGTTGAATTTCAAGCCCTTAAAAAAAAAGAAAAATGGTAATAAAACCAAACAATGTATGGTTCAGAGTCTATCCATATTTTACTTATGAATTGACACATTACGTATGCACTGACATATGACTTATGCACTGACGTGTGACTTATGCACTCATGTGTGACTTATGCACTGACATGTGACTTATGCACTGACATGTGTCTTATGCACTCAGTGTGACTTATGCACTGATGTGTGACTTATGCACTCACTTGTTAATTATGCACTCACTTGTGACTTATGCACTCACTTGTTACTTAAGCACTGATGTGTGACTTATGCACTGACCTGTGACGGAAAGAACGGAATTTCACACGTTAAAATTTGCGTCAAATTTCTTTTTGAGCACACTATACTATATAGTAAAACAAAACAATGCGCTTAAAAAGAAATTTGAAGCAAAAATTTTAACGGAAAAACTGAAAAATAGATTCGACCAAATTTCCATTCTATCAAATTACTGTCTATCAATTTACCGTCGACGAAATTTCTTTTGATCAAATTTCCGGATATGCGCTGGAACCCCAAAAAATATTTCATATTTTTTCTATAATATTTTTTATACAGTTAAATAAATCTTTATAACAGCTACCATTTTGGAGATACATAAATTCAAATAGAGGGAAACATACATTAACAGCAGCAATAAAATACTAGTCGTTTCTTGGCCAATTTAATGATGTGTACTTTTTTCCCTAATTATTACCCAGGCAAGCCAAAGGATTCGACATCTGACATTCGTGTCTTTGTGAGCAAAGGAAAGGATGACGAGACAGGAAATGGGCAGAGAAGCAAGTCCAAGATAGTGGATATATTTTCTGTTGGTACCGGCAATAAGTCGGATAAAGTACAAGCTGGAAACTCGGGGAGCGGCACTTCAAAAAGTGTTGTGGTCAATGGAGTTTTAATGTCCAAGGTCTCTTCGGCTGGGTCAAGCTCACTGTTCTCTACCGTACCCAAGTCTTCAACGGCCGGTACCAGAGTTGTCACTCCTTCAACAGCCGGTGCCAGAGTTGTCAGTAGTTCTGATTCCCACAGAGAGAATCATATTCCATCAAAAGGTTTAGGGATCTCACCTTCAGGGCAGCTTCCTGAACCGATTCCTAAACACAATATTAATGATAGGAACATCCCTGGGGCTTCCAAAATGATGACTGACAGGCCAAAGTCACCACTGCGTCACACGACATCTACACTTGTCTCCTCCAACATACCCAACAATGGCAGTACTTCACAGACATCTACACTTGTCTCCTCCAACCTACCCAACAATGACAGTACTTCACTTAGTGCTGGCAGTTGGGATGACAATGAAGATGATTCTTGGATGTTGGATGCTGAACTGGACTCGACCTCCCATGATTCTAATAAAACAAATGGCAGCCAAGATCATGAAGTTATCGACCTGACCAGTGAAGCTGTTGAAACTGATATCAAGATGCCTAACAATACTAAACTTAAATCTCCTGGAAACGAGTCTTTTAAAACTCTGAAAGGAAAATATCTTGCAGGGAAAAAGCTTCCGCATCTTAAACCAAAAACTAATGCAATATTCACCCCTGGCCATTCTGGCAAAAAAAAAGTTGGCAAACCCAAACCATCATTCCGTGGACCAAGGACAAAAAACTTGATGACTAATGGGAATACTGGTGCGCAGAAATTTCCGAGTAATTTTGTCAGCGTCTGTGTAGGTAATGAATCTTGGAGTCCTCGTAAGAAAGTTCCAAAGAAGAAAATCGCGAAGAACTACATATTTGATGAGTTGGACTCAGATGATGGTCTATGGGAAGAGGAGAGAAATCATTTAATAGAAAGTCCTGGCGATGGTCCAGGAATGTCACGTGGTAGCTGTACAGAGTATGACTCTCTTCAGGTCAGCGCCACTCTTCAATCACCAATGTCACCCAAACTTAATACAGTGAAGAAAAGTGAGTTTCCCACAAATCTAGGAGATACAACAAGAAATAAGCCAGGGACTTCAACTCATCATGAGCCTCCACCTGTCAGGTCCTTAAAAGATGATTTCAAGTCATGCTCATCTGGTGATAGAAATAAAAAGTTTACAGGTCAAGGTCATAGACTTGGTACAGGAGAAGAAAGAGCAACTTTTTTGTCACAAATTCGTAAAACTTTTACTGAAAAATCAACGACAGCCAGTGACAAGTATTCACATAACTTAACAACTGGTGAACCAGGCTTGCATTTATCAACATCAAGCAAGAAAAGAAGTTCTGAGATAGCGTTTGGTTCACAATCACCAGCAAACACTTCGAAGGACAAATCCTTGAAGATAACCAGTGATAAAGACAATAATACAAAAGTGAAGATTACTCCGCCGACCCCGTCTTACCCCATTGGTCAAACAAATGATGCTCCACCTGTAGAAGGCCTTGTCTCTTGTCCTGTGTGTAGTACCCAAGTACAGCCGGGCCTGATCAACAATCACCTTGATCTATGTTTACTGGGATCATGAACACTTTTCTTGCTTAGCCAGATCTAAGCACCTGTTCATATTTCAAAATGTTTTGCTGTTTGAAATGTCCTAATTCCATTACAATTTTATATATCTTTAATGTTTTGTAATTTAATGTCTTCAAAATTTCTGCATTGAGCACTATTGAATTCATGTTACTCATAAGTGCAGTTAGTGTTAATTCCTGACACTAATTGATTTTAATTGATTCTTCTTTTGGCTTCCCTTCCTTATCCCCAGACGTGATCCTTTCTGTCTAAATCAGTGGTTCTTAACCTTTTTAGAGGTACCGAACCCCACCAGTTTCATATGCGCACTCACGGAACCCTTCTTAATAGGAAAAATAAAATATGATTTTTTTTTCTGATTTTTTTTTTGGACCTCCGCCGAACCCCTGAGACTGATCACCGAACCCCTGGAGTTCGATCGAACCCAGGTTAAGAACCACTGGTCTAAATGTTTCCATCAATAATACATTTTTGTAATTTTCGCATTTGAGATGAGTTTTAATTTACACAACTACTTAATTTACAAGTATGTTGACTCAGATCAAGTACAACACTTTATGGCAAGTGATGGAGACATTTACTCCATAAAGCAGTGCCCAATAATTATTCTTTTCTTTGCTGATATTATTCAATTACCATTCTTGTTCCAGGTATGCTTTTGGGGGAATTAGATAAATATTTTGAAAATGTATTTTTAATCATAATAATTTGAATGGTAAAACTTTTAATGTAATTACTTCCCCTTAATTGTTTATTCTCTTTTTCTTAAACAACTTTATGTACTTTTCTTATTGAAACATTTTGAAAACTGGACACCGTATTTATATCTTTTATAAAAATATAATTTTTATGATCTAATTTCAAGTATTCGGTGGTTTCTAACGGCTATAAATCGTTGTTTTGCCTTTTTGGTACAGGTATTTTGGTGTAAAATTGCCTCCGTAACTAATTGTGTTAAGATATGATAATCTACACCTACTACAAAGTCTTTCTGTTTGAAAATTTCATTGCTAGTCTTTGTGTAAACCTTGTTACAAAATAAGTGCATCAACAAATATAAAAATCCTTTAAATAAAATAAACTGGTTTGTTGGGTTGTTTTACTTTCAATGTAAGTTCCCAGATTTATTATTTATAAATTACCTTGAAAAGGCGTGATGAGTACTAGTTGAGAAATGGCAGTATCCTAACCTGCAGAGGTTCAAATCTATATTGGATCATTCATTCAATGACCCCGCACTAATGTGCATTAAAAAAAAAACAACTAATAACATTTTCTTAGTTAATCTACACAAATAAAATGTAATATGCCACCAGTTTTGACACTGAAATATACCTGATTGTTTAAATTTATGGTAGTGCTGTAAATAGGTCAATTTATGAAAACCAAAGAAAATAAATTATTAAGAATGTCATTGTAAAGAGAGTCTCATTCGGAGAACATAAAAACTAGAACATAAACAAAATATTTATTGATTTATTCAGTTATAATCAATACAGCAAATAATTGTAATAATAATAATTGATTCAGGGTTAAAATAAATTTGTCAATTTTTTATTAAATAAATAATTTAATACTAAGGGTAGTGCACTGAAATGTTAAATTTATTCTTGAACGTAAGTAGGCGTAGGGCTACTTTTTACATAGCATGATAATAAATCCCCTACAACGTTTGGAGCTTGGAATTTATTCAGCTTTAACTTTAAATACAAAAGCTAACCCGGTAGCTTCTTGTAGTTGTTAAGTATAATTACGTAGCTTCGCTAATGACTAACATAGGCCTAAGTCTTTCAGTGAAATGTATTTAATTTGGGAATTAAAAAAAATTAAATAAATGACCAATTCGGAGTGAAAATATAAATAAGGACCTGGTATAAGTGTATGAGAAACAAATAATGATCAAATAATTAGGCTTTATCAGTTTTTAACCCTTCTATGTTCATGTCTGCTTATATATGCTAGTACTAGTATACAAATGTATATATTACAAATAACCCACAAAATAATCTAGAAAGCTGCGGCAGCCACTATCACTAGTTATTAATGATTAATGCGGATGAAATTAAAATGTCGAATGATATGCCATGCCCATCTTGGACTATTTACTATACATAATACTATTACTATTGATAGACAGTTAGACAGTTACTTTGCAAACTGCTTAGCAATATTATTCAACTATATTCTATTTTGTTTATGATTTAAAATTTTTAAAAATATTTTATATACGTGTAGTCACATAATCTTTTAATGGCAAGTGGAAATTCTATAGTGAGAAAATCTCTTCCTAACAAGCGTTATCTAAAAGTAACAACTTTATTTGTCCGGATCAGTAGTTACACAAAAATCATGTGGTTTTATGCAAATAAAAAGGTCATGTTTGTTTTGGATTTCGGGGTTACCAATATGAGGCGAGTATAGTAACTTTGTAAAACTACCAGCGCTTTGTAGGCATATTGATTTAATTTTAATTATATTATCTACGCATTTAATATTATTCTTTACGCTATTTCCAAGTAAAAGTTCAAAATTACAGTCTGAAGTACCTGATCTATATTACAAGCGTTTTGATCAAGTTCAAACTTGCTACCGCCCCTCGCGTTTTGATTGGCTGGCTGTCAGAATGATGTCATCATTTGGAAAAAGGCCTAGCTAGCGTACGAACGAGAAAGTTGTAGTCTGTGTCAGTGAACAATAATTCTAAACCTGTGCTGTTTGGATTGATTTTTATTTATTGGAAGAGTGTTGCAGGCAGGATTCAATTCACTGTAGGTAAGTTATTCTAGTTACAAATTTAGCTTTTACACATTATAACAATCTAGTGCCACCTTTTATCCTTTCATTTATGAGCAACAAGGAAGCATAGCAGAAAACGTCGAAACCACGTTGGTTTGTTGATAAACATTGACTACGGGTCTCTACAGCCGTACCAGTTCGTTGATATAATAATTATTCGGTCTATTTAAATACTTATTTACTATCGCTTGAACCTGCATAAATATTTTTTCAATTTATAAGGTAATTATAAAAAAATTGCATCAAGATATTGTTGTGTTTAGTTTAGTAAGTGCTTGCATCATAACTTGACCCTACTTGCCCTTAATGAGATTAATGAATGCATGTTTAAACTCGCTCACCCAAAACATTTTAAACACATACTTATGTAACCAGCTCTTTAGTATCACAAATAAAAGAAAAAGAAATAGTATGTTATTAATAAATCAGAATAACGTACGGAAATATAAAAATAGCATTGTGCCCATTTTATACTAGTGTTTACAATGTAACTAGTAATTAGAAATACTTTAATTATATAGATATTTTCTTGACACTAGTTTATTATTTACGTTAACTCAATAAACCAATATTCTGTGACATGTTTCGAAATCCCAGGCATTTGTCACCTTTGAGTTTCTGTGCTTCCCCCCCCCCCCCCCCCCNCCCCCCCCCCTCAAACAACGAGCGCTTACGCTACTTAGCCTTTGTTTACCTACCCAGATTAGGTGAACGTCATGTCACTGTCATAGGCAACAGTAATGATAACAACTTATTCTTCTGAGGGCTAGATATGACCAAGATAAAGGTTTTCATAAATAGGTAGAGACGTTTCTATACCAGAGATTTAAGTTGTGGAAAGGTGATAGTGGGGGTGGGTCAGTATTTATCCTTTTCAATTCTTAAATTATTGTTAAATTTAATAGCCACCCCTTACTTGGACTAATCCATTTAAAAAAAAAAAATGTTGGCGTGGAAGGTCGTGTTATGGCCTGGATATGTCAATAAAACTTAACAGAACAACAAAGGCGTTTCGGTGTAGGGTGAGGGTGTAGTAGATTGACAGTATTCATGGTATCTAAAAATAGACACTACAAATTAGTATTTGTATTTGTTAGGGACCCAGACATACAGGATGGGCCAATCAAGTGTGACAGTTCTACAGGGTGGGTCAAATAAGTGCCATAGTTATACAGGTTGGGTCAAATAAGTGGCACAGTTATACAGGGTGGGTCAAATAAGTGGCACAGTTGTACAGGTTGGGTCAAATAAGTGGCACAGTTAAAATAAAACTGATTACATGACTCATACCACTAGAATCAAGTTCAGTAACTCTGAATGTTTCAAGCTCGTTATCAACAATTTTAATCAAACGTTTGCACCAGACCGTGATTGTTATCCAACAATTATACAACACATTCAGTGATTGTTTCCAGTAATTATACAACATAGTCAGTGATTGTTTCCAGTAATTATACAAGACAGTCAGTGATTGTTATCCAACAATTATACAAGACAGTCAGTGATTTTTATCCAGCAATTATACAAGACAGTGAGTGATTGTTATCCAGCAATTATACAAGACAGTCAGTGATTGTTATCCAGCAATTATACAAGACAGTGAGTGATTGTTATCCAGCAATTATACAATACAGTCAGTGATTGTTTCCAGTAATTATACAAGACAGTGAGTGATTGTTATCCAGCAATTATACAAGACAGTGAGTGATTGTTATCCAGCAATTATACAAGACAGTGAGTGATTGTTATCCAGCAATTATACAAGACAGTCAGTGATTGTTATCCAGCAATTATACAAGACAGTGAGTGATTGTTATCCAGCAATTATACAAGACAGTGAGTGATTGTTATCCAGCAATTATACAAGACAGTGAGTGATTGTTATCCAGCAATTATACAAGACAGTGAGTGATTGTTATCCAGCAGTTATACAAGACAGTGAGTGATTGTTATCCAGCAATTATACAAGACAGTGAGTGATTGTTATCCAGCAATTATACAAGACAGTGAGTGATTGTTATCCAGCAATTATACAAGATAGTGAGTGATTGTTATCCAGCAATTATACAAGACAGTGAGTGATTGTTATCCAGCAATTATACAAGACAGTGAGTTATTGTTATCCAGCAATTATACAAGACAGTGAGTGATTGTTATCCAGCAATTATACAAGACAGTGAGTGATTGTTATCCAGCAATTATACAAGTCTGTGAGTGATTGTTATCCAGCAATTATACAAGACAGTGAGTGATTGTTATCCAGCAATTATACAAGACAGTGAGTGATTGTTATCCAGCAATTATACAAGACAGTGAGTGATTGTTATCCAGCAATTATACAAGACAGTGAGTGATTGTTATCCAGCAATTATACAAGACAGTGAGTGATTGTTATCCAGCAATTATACAAGACAGTGAGTGATTGTTATCCAGCAATTATACAAGACAGTGAGTGATTGTTATCCAGCAATTATACAAGACAGTGAGTGATTGTTATCCAGCAATTATACAAGACAGTGAGTGATTGTTATCCAGCAATTATACAAGACAGTGAGTGATTGTTATCCAGCAATTATACAAGACAGTGAGTGATTGTTATCCAGCAATTATACAAGACAGTGAGTGATTGTTATCCAGCAATTATACAAGACAGTGAGTGATTGTTATCCAGCAATTATACAAGACAGTGAGTGATTGTTATCCAGCAATTATACAAGACAGTGAGTGATTGTTATCCAGCAATTATACAAGACAGTGAGTGATTGTTATCCAGCAATTATACAAGACAGTGAGTGATTGTTATCCAGCAATTATACAAGACAGTGAGTGATTGTTATCCAGCAATTATACAAGACAGTGAGTGATTGTTATCCAGCAATTATACAAGACAGTGAGTGATTGTTATCCAGCAATTATACAAGACAGTGAGTGATTGTTATCCAGCAATTATACAAGACAGTGAGTGATTGTTATCCAGCAATTATACAAGACAGTGAGTGATTGTTATCCAGCAATTATACAAGACAGTGAGTGATTGTTATCCAGCAATTATACAAGACAGTGAGTGATTGTTATCCAGCAATTATACAAGACAGTGAGTGATTGTTATCCAGCAATTATACAAGACAGTGAGTGATTGTTATCCAGCAATTATACAAGACAGTGAGTGATTGTTATCCAGCAATTATACAAGACAGTGAGTGATTTTTATCCAGCAATTATACAAGACAGTGAGTGATTGTTATCCAGT